TTTCCACTTCATCATTCAACTGTCTTCCATAGTCTGTTCTGTGTTTGGTTTATATATCCTGCCTGTGTTGGTTCTAGTCACTGGAGGTGTAGAGACTAGTTATATGTAGACTCGGCCCAAGTATCAGACTTTTTACGTGAGGACGGAGGCAGAGTCCAGCTCCGAAACTTTATTTTAAACAAAAATATGAACGAAGACCGCCTCTGCTGCCTAGTGGTCAGAGTTCCTGGCTACAGATCCAGAGGTTCAGGTTCGATTCCCTACGCTACCAGATTTTCTGAGAAGTAGTAGGTCTGGAACGGGGTCCACTCAGCCTCGTGAGGATAACTGAGGAGCTATTTCAAGGCAATAGCGGCTCCTGTCTAGAAAACGGAGATTAATGGCCGTGGGGATTCGTTGCGCTGACCACGTGACACCCTCTATCCGCTAAAGTTGGCACTAACTTCGCCGACAAGCGGCGGTCGCTCGGTCGGTATAGTTTGCTTGCGGACTACACGCCATGGATTGTTTTTATTTTGATATGATGAAGGATAATGTTCAAAATGTTAATCAGTCACATTATACAGCTTACATACTGACAACCTCATAAAGTAAGCCGCATAAAAATGAAATGGAAATAACGTTTTTATTGCATTCAGTAAACCCACGCCGAAATTTCCGGTTTAATTCTATACTAATTCGCATTTTATCGTCGCATGTACGAAAATTAGTTCTATACACGCAACTTTTTAATTACACTCTATAGGTGTCCATACAGTTGTAACTCTAAAACAATGATGGATGATATCACAATTAGTTTCAGTCGTAAACCAGAAAAGAACAGAAGCCGTTAGTTAGAAGACTCGGTTTCAAGAAATACACAAATATCACGTGCTTTCAGAATATATCAGATAAGGACATGAAGTTCGAAGTTTATGTAAAAGGTGAAAGAACCCTTTAACTTGGTCTGCTGTAGTCCAGAAGTAATGACTTCTTTTTTTTTATTGTAGAAAAATATATTGTAAATACAAAAAATGCCTAGGCAATGCCCATCCGGCCTTCTGTACCATAAACATCTTATTCTATAATGGCGGTAGTCCCGCGGTTCTTAATACAGATCTTAACTTAAATCTGAGAGTATACTGTTAATAATCAGTACAATTACTTCTTTTACTTTTCTGATATATCTGTTTCATATAAATATAGGAATGTTGTTTATGAAGTAAGAGACGCCTTGCAGAAATCTTTTTTCTTCTAGCCTTAAGAGTTCTATAACTGACTTCGGGTATTCCCCTCACACTACGCGCCTGCCATCTGGAAACCACTCCATTAATCGAGAGGCAAGCGACGCTAGCGCACTCAACGGCTAACGGAGTCCGCGTGATGCGCATGAATCTGTAATTCTATTCTATGATTGGTTTGGCATATCTTCGCAAATCACGATTACATCACTCTTGGTATGAAAGAAGGCAATCAAATCTCTTTTTTAATTTTCCAATTACATCCCTTCTCACTTGATATTCGCCCCAGAATTGTGGCCTGGTTTTTCCAATTTCCAAGACTCATTCTCCCACAGCGATCATAAACCTGTCGGAGGAATCGAAAAATCACTTCTAGACAAGCGCAAGAGTGGAATAAGGGGGAAAACTACACGTATATTGTGGCGTGCCGCCTTAAAGTCAGAATATCTGAGTGGGTGTCCATTGCTAGACAACGGCTTTGTTAAAACAGGTTTCCGAGACAGCCCATAAAGAGACGTCCGTTGCTAGACAACGGCTCAGTAGCTATATTTCTCATACAACAAGGGACAGTGAATAGCTCGTTGCCTAGGCGGCAATTGTAAACACGACAACGCGTACATTGGCAGGCGTTACCACGGGAATGTAAGCCAGAGCTACGTCAGTTCCCGCTGTAACGAATACCCTTCAAGTTGGTGCCTTCTAGTCCATCCGACTGTGGAAGACAGACAAAACGGGGTCGAATACCTCCATCGTGACCCTGCGAGTCGTAGGAGGCGACGAAAAGGGAAGTCTCAAATCTGAGACAGTAAAATATGGTCGCGAGTCCCAAGGGACTGGGGCCGGAGACAGTCTGTGCTCGCAGAGGCTAGGAGCATATGTAAAAGAGACCCGTCCTCTTGTCAGAGAGGGCGCCCCACAAAAACAAGACCGTAACTGTCAAACAGTAATAAAGATCTGGTCATGAGCTCGACACCCGGACTTACTGACTGACTGATCGTTAGTCGCAATGTGACTTTGACTTTGGAAGAATTTTCATTCATAAGAGACAAACCCATCTTCTCGTCAGAGAGGATGTTACATAAGGACTATTCAGTTCAGTTGGAAAAGATCTCTGGTCGTGGGCCTCAAGGGGCCTGACGCCAAGACGAACTGATTGGAGGTAAACCGCCAGCCGTAAAGTAACTGTGACTTTGACTTGAGGACAGATCAGATTAGAGAAGACCAGATCGGAATTGAGATCAGTCAAATCAAAGACGATGGGCTAGTCAGGTCGCATCTACAGGAAGACGCTATTTCAGCGGAGCAGAGCTGAGATCAGGTGAGAAAGCAGCTCGGCCAAGAACTATAAGATAAAACGTGAGAGACGACGGACTAGTCAGGTCGCATCTTCTGGAAGACGCTATTTCAGAGTGATTGTAGTTGTAATTGTAAACGATTTATCCAATAAAACAATTCGTCTAATCCGGAATCCACAATTATTTGTCACGGAACACTGGACACGTGACAATATTTTCGACATCAGGACGAACATAGCCACTTAAGATGACGTGAGCAACTAATCAAACATAAGTTTCCTCAATGTGCGCCTGCTAATCTGGAAACAAGTTACCAGCTTGAAATCGGCAACGTTTCTCGGATATTGTGGTTGCCAGTTTCCTTGGTGTGCCCTCGGTCTTAAGGCGCGTCCACATTACTCGTGCTCGTGCTCGTCGGGAGACTCGTCTGGCTTTTAATTGTGCTCGTAAATCTTCGTCCACACTACTTCAGTTGCTCGCCACGCTTCGGCACGTGAGGATCCGTATATTTACTCGTAGTGTGTATAGGCTGTAGCCGTATTTTAATCTATTGGCTATAGTTTTTAATTTCAAATTTAAAATTATTTGCTTGTCTCGTGACTTGTCATATCGTCCACATTACTCGCTAGCATAGCGAGTCACACGAGCACGAGTAATGTGGACGCGCCTTTAGACACAGATGTGACGTAGAACGCAACGCAATGATGGTGTATTAAGTGGGGAGGGGGACTTACGGGCAAGGCTCAGTTCATTCCTATTCGCGATAACATACTGCAGCATCTGCAAAAGGGACTGACAACACGAGCCTCAATCCGTTCCGAACTTGATAGCCAAGTTCCCGTAGAGAATTGAACTCCGTCATCCAGTTAATCACTGCATCATCACTTTACATGACCATCACGAGCTAACAACGGTTAATAGAGATCGCTCAAATGGGCGAAGGGATGCATAGATAATCTAAACTGCTCCACACTACAGACGAACTCCATTATACATATTAACCTATGCCAGACGCTGTTAGCCTGGAAGATAAAAGACAATGATATCTGTCGGCAAATCTGTGTACTAAATACGTCTAGCCGAATCCATCACGGGGAAATGTCGATAATACGACCTACTGAACGGACTACAATGCATGTGGTTTGGGTAAGAGTGACATATGTAAAGGACCTCGGGCTGTGAAAAGCTTGAGACTGAAGTTTTCTTGGAGATTTTTTGATTTGCGACCTTCTAAATTAAGAAACGATATAGACTTGTAGCCAGTGGCAGTACAGATGGGGACAGCTGGTTCCTCTGAAATGTATATTACTGTACTTTTTTTTTTAATTCGCTTAGTGGGAGGTGGAATCCAACTGGGTCCACTCGGCACGGCGGCCGCTGATTGGCCTACTGTACCTGCCTCGGGTGATTAAGATGCTGGAGAATTTGGTGGAATGAAGATCGGCAAGGGAAACTGAAGTACTCGGAGAAAACCCGCCATAAACCATAATCCATAAACGCATAAGTTAAATTCATAACTGGGCTGATAAAAAAAAATCTACTGTATATATCAGAACATAATAAATTAGGGGATAAGACTCGTGGTGTAGGGTTCATATGGTCAGACCGCTTTAAATATAATAGATGAAAATCCGTTTTGATAAGCGTCCTGTGTAGTTGACAACAAAAAACCACATACGAAAATATTCCTGACAACAAGAAAAAACAAAAACAAGTTGCATTAAATTCATAGGAGTTAAGCGTACCTAAGAATAACAGGGTACCTTTGCACAACACGGTGACAAGCAGAGCTATGTATGTGTGAGGGTAACAAATAATTAAAACCAAATTCAGTGACAGTTCAAGGCTACTGAATACTTCATAATAGTTAATGCTGGGTCTATCCATCTATCCTTGGCTCTACAGTCTTTTGTTGAAACTTGGCCTCTTTTCCAAGTTTCTTAATCTTTTACACAGTTGGTAGGACTCCTTGGACGGGGGATCAGACCGTCGCAAGGCCGCTACGTGCACACAGAACAGCACAGACAGAATAAACGCACAGAGACATCCATACTTCGCCTCTTTTCCAAGATTCTTAATCTTTTACACAGTTGGTATGACTCCTTGGACGGGGGATCAGGCCGTCACAAGGCCACTACCTGCACACAGTACAGCACAAACAAAATCAATGCACAGAGACATTCATGCTTCAGACTGCGAGGTCACTGTGATCAGCACATTGGATATAGTTAACTGCAAGTGAACCTCTCTGAGCAACAGGTTTGCATGGTCACCATATTCTAAAAACGATCCCAGGTACAGTTTACATAAATATCAAACTACAATATTTTTACCTCGATCCACAGTGAAATATCAAGAATGAAAAATCAGCGACTCACGTTCATTTTCCAGAAGCAATAAATATGCAACGTTAACTTCTCATGGGGTTACACAAACCAAATTTGACTCACAAACAGACTGACGCAATTTATCAGTCGCCACTTACGTTTCATATTAGCGAAGACCCTCGTCGGGCTAAACACGGCCTGAAGGTCGTCTTATCTTCTTTCCTCCAGGAAAATTATGCGATTTGATATTAAATTACGCTATAACCAATTCTGTTCAAAGTCATGTTTACCACTGGACGCTACATTAAATATTCACTTCACAGAACACTGTCCAATAAACCACGAAATAAATTAGTTAGTTACCGAAACACTCAATGTCAAGTTACTTTTAAAACAGTAACTGCATCCTCGTTATACTTAAACTAACATATCACAATCAATCACGGAGAATATACACCTAAATTCGGCAAAAATAACACGGGAGCAAGGAGAAATATTCATTCTCAGAGAACTACGCCGCTTCGGACGACGTTACACGTCTATAATACAGTCATGTGGTTGTGAAGCGCGGGAGGGCGCGTTCATAAAATTCAGATCCGCGATGCGAGGTAAACTAAAACTAAACAAGGACAGTAACAGACGCGAAATGTTTCCTTACTTTTATTTGCGAGCCTTGAGTGCTATTGCTATGCCAATTTTTGTGTATTAAAAATGTGAATAGCATTCATTTCCATATACTTACTTCCTTATGGAGCTGGACCCTTCTTGAGAAGCCAAATCTCCAGCTACTCAAGAATTTCCCAGTATTTTATTGAACCCGAAGGTTCATTACCGTGTTCACAATAGCCCTCCACTGACCCCTATCCTGAGCCAGGTCAATCCAGTCAGTATCCCATCCTATCTCTATAAGTTCCATTTTAATATTGTCCGCCCACTTACGCCTTGGTCTTCCTAGTGGTCTCTTACCTACTGGCTTTCCCACCAATATCCTATATGCATTCCTTTTCTCCCCCATTCATGCTACATGCCCTGCCCACCTCATCCTCCTTGACTTGATCATTCTAATTATACTTGGAGAAGAGTACAAGTTCTTCATTTCCATGTACAATAATAAAACTGTATCATAACTTGAGTGTACTGTTTTAACAAGCATGTCTCATAACAATTTACTGATACTCATTTTTAGCCTACTTCTGTTCTTATAAAAAATAACACAGGCTTGTGATATTGTCTTGCTACCTCTGTGTGTGTGTGTGTGTGTGCATGTACACACTTGCGACAACTTTTGAATGGCTGAATTGATCTTCCATGAAACTCGGTGTGTAGGTCATGCCACCCAAGGTCATCTAACCGGCATACTTCATAAATCACCCCATTAGTAATACCAACACTGCAGCCTGTATAATTATGGTAATAGCCTTAATATTACTGGAATGCCTAAACCAATTGTCATGAAACTTGGTATATATATCATGGCATCACTGGAAGCTTTCTGTGGTATGGAGATTCCATCTGTTATTTAATGTCTGTGCCCATATACTTATGTGCCTCAATTCAAATCATCATTTCAAAACTACTCTGGTGCGCAGTCATATGTGAATGTCAATGAAACAAAGGCCTGTCCTAAATTGGAGTATGCCCTTAAAGGGAGGTTTAAGTACTATTAAATTTTTGTCCGTTGGGGCAAGATACCTCTTGATATACAAGTAAACTCAGTCTACATCTTTGAGGGTACAGCATACTTGTACATTGAGAAGGCACCCTTGTGGAAGGGTCATGTGTTCAATAAGACCTTTGTATAGAAATTCTGGTCCCCAACATGTGTCAGAAATAGAACCTTAGTAGCTTTATAACAATGATGTAATGACTTGGAACACTATCTGATGATGACACCCTCAAACACCTCAAAGATATTTTAGACACACTTCATGAACTATCACTAAAATCATCTGTATAAAACAGCAAAATAAAACAATATATATATGAACTGAATTAATGTTCATTACTATTCAAAAACACAGGTGACACCCATGAATGATCATACAAGCAATGAACATAATATTATATTTATACATCAGTATGTACAAGTGTGCAGTTAAATAAACTTAGGAGTTAATACAGACACAGCTGAAGTACAATAAATGCTATGGTAGCAATGTAAGCAATGTCAGAAAGAGCTCTACTGAAGTATATAATGAGGTGTCTATGTATGAACTTCAAACAATGCATCAAACACTTGTCATAACATATAGACTAATACTGATGTAATGGCATTATGGTATTATTATTAGTATTATTTCCTTTTTATCAGCATGGAAGAGAAAAGTGGTATTATGCATAAGAGTGATGCGTTCATATTTACATGTAAAAGGAAAGGGAATTTGAGTTCCATGATCTCCTGTCACTAAGACATCATTTTGTCTGGCTGATTTAACTAATAAACCAAGGGGGACAAAATGAAATAATGCTAAAAATTATGGGCACTTTGTTTTCTAAAGAGTGCTCGTATGAAACAAACTTATCTGTGATGCTAACTTTTCAGTTGTGAGCTAGCCTAATTTAAAGACAAGGGCATCCTTACAAATAGTCTGACTCTATCAAACCTTCTTAACCCAATCTCTCCTACCAGATGGTGTGTGCATCATCTAATAATTCATAAAACTGTATTAATCTGTGAAAGGCTGCTTTGATGAACCCTTCCTTATTTCATGCATCTAACTGGAGCAGTATATCATGAAATCAGTTACACAGAAAGCAATGAATTATGTAAAAGACAGCTGAAAAATGGCAAGAGAAATGAGATTCATCTTCAGGTAACTTTATACATCACAAATCCCACAATTTCTGATAATGAATAATTATTCAAGCCCACATGAAAAGATATCTCAAGACTCCACATGGCAATATTTGTGAAATGAGAAAGATGTACGCATAAAAAAAAAAGCTTCAAAACCACAAGGAGAAAAAAGTCATGTGGGCAGCTGAATGTTATTACCATACATAACTTCAGCATTTTTATCCCCAGAAAAAAAATGACTTTAAGCATAAATTACAAGTAATAATACAAATTGAAATTACTCTTGACATAGGATAATTACCAACAATACAAAGAGACAGCTGAGAGAAAAGTTGTGGCAAGAAATTAAAATTGAAAGATTGTTGAAGGAAAGAAGAGACTGGATATTCATCTTGATATATATATAAAGTGAAAACAATGCTAGGAGAAGGAGGAGAAGATTAAAAGACAGCAATCTTTATTCATCTTCCTCAGGCATTTCCACTTTAATGTGGGTCATCTATTCTTTCTTTAACGTACAGACTTACCATACGCAGTGATAGCAATATAAAATATCAAAAAGAAACATAAAATATGAACACTTCCGTCATGGATGCTGATAACAAGATGTGCAAACCTGACAAGCTCTACGTCCTATATGAACTTCTGTCTGAAAGACAACCTGGCCAGTTTTTCAGGAACTAAGATCCTGGTGCAGTGACTGTGAAGTGTACTATCTTCTGGAAAATATGCTGTGTAGCCTGGTAGAAATATTTTGACATTTCAGAGGAATGTACAGCCTCCATCTTCAGGGTCAAAGAATAAGATGAAGGCAGTACATTCCATGAAAACACATGTAAACCTCTATCTGGCCACATTACATGACACCGCAGAAGACTCTGCTCTTCAATTGCGTTTTTGTAGCCATAGTAGAGGGTGAAGAGATTTTGAGACAATAATATGTCAGGATTACTGAGTTCCCAGACTTTTGTCAACTGTATTCTAAACAGAACAAAATGTTTTGGAAACTGAATATGTCTCCATTCTCAGCTGGTAAAGCAGGTAATACCTACTCAGTTAGCCCCATCAGGAAGACTTAATCTCTATCCAATGACTGAGGTTAACTCTTTCTAATAGCCACCCAAATGAGGTGACACCAAATCTTGTCATCTGAGCATGGAAAGGAATCCAGTTTTTGAAATAATGGGTTCTGTTTGAAACAGCCGATGATGAACAAAGTCCAGAAATCCGGTAATACCAATGCACTATTGTTATCAGAACCCTTCAGAAGCGACCTATCATCATCATTCTGTTACATGAGGCATAGCTGCAACAGAACAAATAAACTGTAGAACAATTACTTTTCATCAACAAAATATGGCATTATGGCAGTATATAAGATTCAGTTCTGTAAAATTAACATCTGCTGAAATATATATTAGCACATCAGACTTTTACTGAGGTTCTTCCAATGTTTTGACAACAATGCAGTTGGCATCATCCTGGTGAATGTTGTGGACAGTGAATAGCACCGGGGCTAGGGGAGCAGGAGAAGGAAGAAGCAAGTGGCTGGTTAATGTGCTGTTCTAATTATTAACCACACACTGCATCTAGAGTTTGTGGGAGAAGAGGATGGGTATTAACTAACTGATAGGGGCGGCTTGTATATTATCTAGACTGAAGAGATGAGACATGTCCGCAGATATTTATCTTAATCCCAATGTCACTTTCAAATTTAGGTATTCTGATTATTTCAGTGGCTTCTCAGATGATACAGGGATGGCATTTGTGGATGCACACCCACATGCATCAAGACATGTAACAGTCAAGACACGATGTCTGCAAATTGAAACAAAGATAGGAGCACAGTTTAAACGAATGAGATTATTAAAACCGCCGCACGCCAGTCTGAGTCATGATGCTGACGAATCACGAATAAAGCAAGACTGCATCTACTGTCTCATGTCTTGATGCAGTTGGTGTGTGGCCACCCTATGGCTTCTATCTTGTCCAGTGTCTTGACTACTGCCACTTGCTGATGCCTTATTCTGGTGTCTCCAATGTAATAAGAAACCATTGTCAAATTTACACCTTTCACCTTGGAGATGGCAACTCAAACACTTGCCAAAACAAGGGAAATATTTCAGCAAACAGGCAACTCAAACCCAGAAAGTGATCTGATATATTAGACATCCGCTACAAAAAGATAGGGAGAAGAATATGATAAAACAGTCACACCTAAAAACACAAAACATAGTTCTGCATTTATGTTTCAGGCTTGCACATCTTAGGTCTAAGAACATGACTTGGCATATTGAATATGTAGCATAGAAATGAAGTTTGTCATGAAAAAACAACAAAACATACATACTGTCATGTAACTTGCTATAAACAGAAATGACTATTTGAATTTACAAGTAAATATTGTGGAATATAAATATATGAACCTTAACAGACTGTTGCTATAATATCAAAGTTACACTTGTGACACATAATTTTGGCACGTAAGAAGTTAAAAAAGACACATTAAATAACACGCAGTATCTTTGACCACATCCATCAGATAAAATAAATACATACATGAAGGATGAACATCAATTCATGTTCTGAAACTTATCATACATTACACATACTTCATACTAATTTAAAAACTTAGGGGAAAAAGCAATTAAAAATATGTCTGCTGAGTATTACATATATAATACATGCCTCGTTTATAAGTAATGAAAATATTAAAACAATCCTATATAAGTCATGACAAGTAATTTAGCTGTAAAGAGAAGACTGTGCCTGGATTGTACCAAGGATGATGAACACCTTTCAGCAAACCTCTTTAAGCGATACTACAAGTATCACACTTCTGTATATATTGAACATTTCCTAATGATGTGCAGTTCTTCAGAGAAAGACAGGAGATGAGACTTGGTCAAAAAGGTAGTGTGTTTTTTGCAGAAGAAAAGTACTCAGAGGAATGGTAGCCATTTGAGTTGGGTCACAGAACAGACAAGAATGTCTTAACTGAATGACACAGTAGTGGTGTGTTTGGCGTAAGTGACTGTTGACTCACATGCGCAAAACAGCGACTATAAACGTTTTAAAACTAGGATTCAAAATTATACTAAGTAATGCCTTATGAAGCACAACAGACCACTGTAGGTCGCGGTCGAAGGGCCGAAGAGGCCTACCCCTCATACATTCATTCAAGTAAAGCTTACGTGTAACATAACAACAATGCAGCATTTCTCAGCTCTCAGTCACTGCTCCATAATCAAGGAAGGGCGTACAACTTCTGGTGTCCTCAGAACAATAAATATAAAGATTATTGTCCTCTGGAATATCATATATGTAATTTGGAAGATCCTGCTATCTCAATCCCCAGGCTCTACCCCAACCCCTTCTCCTCACTGGGGCACTGGGAGCAACATTAAAATCTTTGCCTATTCTGGTTCTCTGGCATGCTTGATGTTCTGCAGTTCTTTTAAGGTTATAGTTTCTTCTGTTTATTGAAAGTTATAAAGAAAACAAACCACTTCATAGTAGTAGCTGAAATTATGTAGCGCAGTGGTATTTAAATGGACCAGCAGAGAGCTGTAGAGGTATTTAATTTGACCAGAAAGGGCTAAGGATGGAGACAGCAGTTTCTTCTGAGATGTTGGTATCCATCTACTAGACTATACAGCATCATATTCCAAAAGATGCTAATATTAGAGGGAACAGCAGACATTTAGACATACAAATGAAAAGGAAACCAAAATTTCCTGTTCTGTCCAGTAATAAAATAATTTAGAAATATTTCCCATCCTATACTGTGTGGACCTTCTTAATTTGGCACAGTTCTCTGATTTCATATTCCAAAGAAAGTTGCATCATCTAGAATGACCCTGTACATAACACATTAAGAGAGCCAAATAATAACAATGGTAAATACTAATGTAAACATCACAACAGTGCATTACTCATCTGTTTACACTAACAGTTTGTTCATCTTCTCACTTAACCTTCATAATGGAGGACAAGGTAAGCGTCTCTCCTATGCTTGAATAAATGGTATTTGAATATATTCTTGGGGACATTTTATTTAGATAAAATCCTTTAGCTCAAATGCTTTGAGATGTACATGTATATTTAAAATAATCTCATCAGTTCTGGGTAATATACCTCTGTTCAAACATTATAGGCTACCATTAATACATGTTACCAAGTATGCCAATGTAGCTTGTTCTATGAGTTTTCTTTTCATAATTTTAGATAGCAGATACATCATCCATAACTCTCTACAGACCAAACTATACAGTTATAAAAGAACTTGAGAACTTACAAGCTCAGCTTTTCAAACACTCAGTTAACTATGAGACTCACAGCCATGATCGTGGTCTTCTGAGATATTACACATGTAGTCCGATAAAAAATCAACATGTCAGAGGAACCTGCTACCTCCATCTTCATGGTTAAAGATCCATGTGTTTTACCCTGACTAATATCTTTTCAACCAGTGGAGAGATTTTATAAAAACTTGGCCAAAGAAAAAAAACAAAAACAGAATGCCATCAGAAGCCATTCATTCCATCTTCATACCATTTAATTACTTACTATCAATAATATCTGATGCCTATGAACTTCTGTAGGGCTCTGAAAGTTGTGTGCTTGTAGGCCCTCAAATAATACACAACTGCTGCAAAGATTTCTTTTTTATACAATATAAAATGAAAGCGTGAATCAGTGTTATATAGGTGAGCAACAACAAATAAACAATAAATAAATATTAATTACAGACAGCCATGTTAAATCTGTATTTTAGCTTTCATTTAATAACAATAATTAATGATGCACTGAGGTCACACAGGTGAAATTTGGTATGAAGAGAGATCACAAACATGTAGATGCAAGAAAGACCTCTTTGTATTTTAAAAGTTATAAAGATGGTGATGCTGCAAAACTGTGAGATTATGTGTGACATCTATAAGATGATGCACATCTGTACCACCGAAAATTATGCACGCAATTAGACCACTGATTTGTATAATTATACATGTATTCTAATATCTGCTATCTCTATACACAGATGCAAGCATTTAAGAGAAAACAGTCGTAAATGCTGTACCTTAGGCTGACAAGCTGCCTTACAATGAAGTGCACTTTTTCTTTCTGAGAAGAGTAGCATGGTTGTATACTTGAAGAAAATGAGGAATGTACAAGCTGAAAGGGTGGGACGTATAATAACAAAGAGTGATATCACAAATACTTTTTTTTTTTCAATGTACTCAGCCTTTAATATAAGAATAACACACAATGCTCACAAAACGTTATATAGGAAAATGTTAAGACTGAGGGTATCAAATGCCCCTGAAGATATATTAGTAATTTCAATGAAGAGAAATATGGTGCTACAATTTAAATAAATGTAAAACTGTATATTTTACTTATCACAAAGGGCATTTTTGATAATTTGAAAACGAAAATCTTAATTATTCCACAGAGAATAAGTCAGGAACCTTCAAGCATGGTCATCCTTGTGTCATAAAATTTTTTAAAATTGTTTTGTATAAATCAGTAAAACATCTCATCAGTTAATTTGTTGTAAAGCTATCCTACCCTTAAGAGATATATAACCCAGAGTATGATTAAATTATTTTGCTTATTTTCTTCGCTACATGACATAACCTGTATATTAAAGCAACATTTATAAAATGTCCCCTATTGCAGTGTAAGGTTCGATTCCTTTTTTATTCCTTCCTAAAAAAAATCATACTGCTAAAATATGTTACAAATATCTTACATCAGGCAACCATTCATTGGTGACTCTCTCTTTACTAGCATATTTCCAATTATATAAATCATGGCAGCTGTTTTACCAATCAGGATTTCTGTGATAAATGTGAGGCCATGCAATCAGGAAGAATACAACACCTCCAGCCTGACAGAGCAGTTCTGAAATAAAACAAACTCATGAGCATGCAAAGCAGCTTTCAGCCTAGGAAGAATTTAAAGGTGTCTAGCGCATCCACGTATATAAAAAAAAAACCTAGTTACTATAGATTCTGACGATGGTGTATAACACACTGATATATTGGGTTTTCGGACTTTATCCATCGTCCTGGTTTTTTAAGATAACTAATAAAAACACGATCTTTCGGAAACTGGATCTGTTTCCGTCCTCAGGTGAAGGAAAACACCTATTCTGTCAATCACTTGATTGAGGCTAGCTCTTTCTAAGGGACCCAACAGAATAGGTGTTTTCCTTCACCTGAGGACGGAAACAGATCCAGTTTCCGAAAGATCGTGTTTTTATTAGTTATCTTAAAAAACCAGGACGATGGATAAAGTCCGAAAACCCAATATATCAAAAAAAAAAAACTGTTTTAAAATTGCACAGCAAATTCATCCCCTTTGGACCTATGGCTCTCGATGATACTGAAACACCTTCCATGCAACTACTTTTTTCAAACAAAACACCTTTATTTATTTATCTCCAGTTTACTTGCAGATACCGTCAGTTCCTCAGACTACATGCTTGAAAAGGAGGTGGACAGAAGCAATCATGGCCTAATTTAAAGCCCTCTTCTGACAAATGCCTGAAGGTGCAGAGGAAAACCATGAAAAACATCAGTCAATATATTCAGTGTCTTGCCCAAGGTTTGAAACAGGCACCATTAAAACATACATCAAAAACATTATCACTTGAGTCAACATCCCCAGTAACACTTCTGTTATTGACTGTTTTAATCCTATTAATCCCTCCTCATTCTGGACACCAAAAAAAAGCCTCTACCCTTTCATTTTGTTTTCTTAAACTAGTCTTTGATGGTTTATCATCATTCTATGCCCAGTGACCCGTGCAGAAGATATGGAATGGTCTCCTATTACTGAATATTGAGCACAGATAATTACAGAATTGGAAAGAAAGTCTTACCCCTCCTTGATTTCTGCTCACACTTCGTACTTAATGGTTGTCCTTCCTTATTGCTGGCTTCAAACCATTCATCTGTCCATTATCAGCCAGAGAGATTCAGTATTACTGGACAGCATGTTGTCCAGCCTAACCACTACTGTTATCAATCAAATGTTAGGTTTTTCAGCTCCATGTAGCCTCCACAGAGCTTTGGGCAGAGTTCTCTTCTCCCAGAGTGATGTGATGTACGCTTCTTATAAACAATCATCCTGAAAAAAGCAAAACAACATCATAAACTGAAAGTTATATGCAGTAAGAAACCCGCAGATGCAGGAGCAAACAGAGCTTTCTGGCTGATTCTTGCTTGGCATACACTTCCACCCTGAAGATGAAAGCAGTATGCTCCTCCAAAACACCACACTCTCTCCAAACTACAGTGTTACACCCAGAACAACATAATCTACAGGTCACAAATTCACATACCAATCTCACATTACACATCAGTACCGACTGAAAGGAGCGAATCACAGAATTACAGTACTGTTTTGTACAAATGTAAATTCTTAAGTTTCGTAACAGTCACAATCTTATTGGCCGGTGCCAAATGTGTTGGGTAAACGCGGTGATGACAAACCATTAATTATAATTGTGAGGATGTTAACAGATTCTGTTTTATGCATAAATCCACTATGCATTACGAATATTAAGAGAAATTAATGGCCTTAGGATTCTATCATATTTATAATGTAATCCTGCATTGATGGTAACTCAAGTATCTGCCAAACTGGCACCGATTATGTTCAGAAGCATATTTCTGTTTATCATTTATATAACAAAATTATGATTTCTAAGTAAGAGGAAAGATGGATTTGAGGTTCCATGATAATGACTATGAGCAGCTACTGTTTTCTAGGATGTGACATACAGTTTGCTAGAAGTTTGCAGACTCTTCAAATGGAGTTGTTTATCATATATTTACTTCTTAATATTATTTAACATGCTTAATATACCTTATCTTATATTTTTTAAATATAATCAATTGGATGATATCACTATCTGAGGTCTGAGGTTCTCACATCAGTGGCTATGGAGATTACTGTCTTTTGGGAGGTGTCACTGTGTAGTGTGCTGGACGTTTACCAATGTTTGGGAGGAACATAACTTCTCCAGCTAAAGTTACGCTGAGGATGAAGGCAGTTTCTCTGAAACATGACTTCTGTGTTTTAAATCTTGTGGCCATGTGCACAAGTGTCATCACCATCTACTACTACAACTAGCAACAACAACAACAACAATAACAAAGATTACAACTCTACCTTCTACCCTGTAGATGGAGGCATCAGTTTTCTCCGAAATGTCCATATATATCTACCTGATTACATGGCATCACATCCCAGATGGCAGTGAACTTAATAGCACCATCTGTTTAAATATATTTCACACTCAGTTCAGCATTGCTATTGGTTGACTTGTGGTACCAAAGCATAAATTGATACAAGTATCAAAAAAATTTTTGGAAGTATGAGACAAGATATATTATAATGCAAGACTACACGGCGCCATATGCCAGATGACAGCAATTTACATTAATAAACGGCTGTATTTTTTTTCTTACAGAAAATATCCAGTATTAACTGTATGATTAGGACAACTTCTCTTTCGGATCCGAGTTTCTCACAAAAGTGACTCTGGAGGGTTTGTCTTCTGGGATATAATTTTGAAAGTGAACCAATATTTCAGAGGAATATTTCGCCTCCATTTTCAGGGTCCAAGAATGGGACATTTATGAGACCAGCATGAAGCAGGTAGGCAACTACAGAATTTTAACCTTGAAGATGGAGTCAAAATGTTTCTCTGGAATGTTAGTTGATTTTCAACAGATCATACGTTGTTATATCCCAGAAGATACAACTCTTCAACCTCTATTTACATTGACCTGATCACTATTAATTCATATGTTCCACAAAAAAATGTAAAACTGACAATACAATTACAATTCAAAATAAAAGTTTAAGAAACTCCCATGGGCCCTTCTTGTGCACACAATTCAAATATTCAAAATAAAATGTTTTGCTTTCATCAAAATCTGTGGTTGAACTTCTTCACACTAAAAGATGCAAATATGTAGTTGATATTGAGACAAAATGAACACTTACATAAATTCTGAGGCTGTCATTGGAGCGTTAACCACATCAACACACATAATGTCACAACTCCAGTGTACAAAGGTGCAGTGGATATGAAATGGGAACTTACTTACTTATGAAAAATAAACACAATTAGCTCTGCACTGCTGCAGTGAGAAGAACACCGCAACCAGCAGCATCTGAACAAACTAAATTATTCCGTTCCCCTTCCCTCTTATATGGCATATGGCCACGGTTACCTTGCACGGAACTATCTAATAAATGAGCTAAATAAAGCACTTAAGAACTCCCACAGGCGTCTCTGTGCTAACAAGAAAAAAAAATTGCATAACTGCAGTACAATGTTTTCTCTTCCCATCACTACACATTGTGCAACCTAAACAATGTTACCTAATCTGTAAGGTAACTATATTCCTACAAATGCAGGTAATTTAAAAATACCAAACCTTTGTCTGTGAAAGCAAAACACGAGATTCTTGCATGCAATGTCTTAGAACAATGAATAGCACTTTCTTCATAATAAAGTTTCCCACAAAAACAATGTAAAATAAGCTGACTATTAATATTATCAAGGAACATACCTGTATGACCTTCGTTAATTATACTTAATATACAGGATAATACAGACAGTGTCTGTCAAATTTGTTGATATATTAATCAATGAATTTAAAGGAAAATAAAATAAAATCCTGTTAACATGGGTCCAATTAGGAAAGTTAAAGGAGTAGTGGCAGTTTTATTGTAAGATAAAGACATACCAGACACAAAGATTTTAAATGAAAACTTTCACAACTAAAAGGTAAAATTAAAAGTATTGCTTAACATGATAATTGGCACAAACTCTTCACAGTTTCTGCCTATGACTGAATGAACATTTCCATAAGCCAACAATTGAAGTTGCTGGCATCACTATGCTTAAATGCACATTTGTCACAGGCAGGCTCTCTGAATATTTTTGTACCATTTGGTATTATTAAATAATACTTACATAGGTTTAAATTGAAGATATTGTGAAATTTATTACATTTTAGATCTTTATTTTTAAGTATTTACCTTGCTTTCAAACTGAGAGAACTGCTTCCCTTTTAAAATTGGACTCATAGTCCCTGTACTTTTCTTTACTCAAAACTACTTGATGAATGTAGCCAATAGGTTTTGTAGGCTCCTACAAGATATATATTTTGCAAAGACAACAATAACGTGAATTTTGGAATGAGAATTGCTACATCTGCTACCTAATACCCTAAAAACTCATCTTCTGTCTTCAGATATCATCTCTCCCTCTGACATTATGGCCATGATGAAATGTGAAGCAGCCAAGATGGAGGAAGGCTTTACTTTATAACCCCTTTTAAGATGCTCCCAAATATGAATTTGTAACCTCATAGGAAACAACTGAACTACATATCTCCAGAATGCTGTAACTTTCAGACCTCCTGTATGTGCTCTAATACGATGTGCAGTCTGTCACCTACTGATTCTCCCAATGAATGTTAGATGAGTGTGACAAAGAGTTAATTCATTAAGCTTCATGCAAAGAACTCCATTTCATAATTTTGAAATACTAATATTTTTGTGGTTAGTCTACACAAGATGTGCATTTGAAACTCAAGAATTCATATTTTTATGCAATGTTTGTTAGAAATTCATCTTGAAAACTATATTACTTAAGTCCTTTTAGAGCTTAGAAGTATGTAGTGTTTCCAGATGCTGCAAGATTTCCATTTTTATTGGGGGCAGCAAAAGAAATCACCTTTGAAACTTGTAAAAAGTATTTTAATTGCTTTATAACGCTAATTTTGTTTACAGTGATTTTATACTGAAACATCATTTAAATATCATGCAAAAAATTTTATCCTTCTCTTACTCTCTGCATACACACAAGACTGAACGAAGACTTCAATGTTAAGGACAACTAAAATGTAACAAAAATCATGTGACAAAATGATGTACTTCTTTTCATCTGAAGCCAGAATGACTCTTGAAACACCATGGGACTATTCAACTCAGACAATGGATAATGTCTAAAGAAAATATTCCCACAACTGTAGTATACTGTTAAGGGAAGACATTAAAGATGGCTGGGAATATTAGAAATTGATATTTTTGTATGTGGAATGTGATGTTACGAGGGGACCAGGATTATTTGTCAAATCCTGTATCAGGGAGTTAATAATGATATAACATAAATCTCTGTCTAAAATATAACTTGGATTAAACAGGCATGTACCATTTTTCAGAAATAAATCTCTGATTCTAGGAAAAGAGGAGTCTAAACCAATATAAAATTTAAGATTACTGTCATATGGGATGTGACACCGTGTAGTCTGGTAAGTATTTACTAGTCACCTTGGCATCACATCCCAGAAGAAAGTATATTTGTAACAACTGCCATGAGAACTTCAAAACTCACAATGTAAAATTACCTCTATTAAATGGAAACTTGAAAATGGAAATGGAAGGTAAAAATATAAGTATTTAATAGAAAACAGTCAGCTTAGATACATGTTATTCTATGTTCATACTTCACTCTGCTCCATGCTTCCTGGAATTTATGATGAGAAAAATTTCTGTTGCAAGTGGAAAAGAATCAACCCAGACAGTCAACAAAATACAAGCAGAATACCTCAACCCTAGAAGTGCCAAGAATGAGCACCATAAAATTCATGAGGAATAAGAGGTACAAGAACTTCCTAAGACTTTCACATGTAGGGAAAATATTCCTGCCAACATTTCTTGACTATGTAATACAGATAAATTTCCAACAGATGTTGTCAAATATAGAAATTTGTTTAAAGGTTGAAATTTTTAACCCTTTGCACTTGTAAGGTTTATAGATTACTGGGAAAAGGAATAAAAAAATGTATACTGCTCAATAAGAGTGTAGCACATACAACACAAATTTTTGCTAATGTGAGACTTTACAACAAACTACTCCAACTGCACACTAACTAATGAGTTCTGACTTCAAGTCAAATTTGTAGCAGTGACCTGTGTTTGATACCAGAGATGACTTGTCAAAAATTCCCATCTATATAGTTTTATGATTCTTTATTACCACATACTCATTACTTCACACGTAACACACACATAACTGTACAATCCCCATAAACACTAATCAA